CTACTCTCTCAGTTCTCTCCCTAAAGCCTCCATCCCCAGTCTCTACTCAGGTGTCTCTAGCACAATCTGCCCCCACCTTTTTCTGGAGCCCAGGGTAAGTGGATACAAACGACAATTTATGCATTGGCCCTTTAAATGGCTCTTTGCCTCTCCAGCTGCCAGTCTCTGGCAGAGAGCAACCCTGCTGCTTTTCACAGCTGGCTGTTATCTGTGTACTTTTTGGGTTTTGGTGCTGTAGGCTGGGGATCCCTACTTATCGTTTAGACCTCACCCTTCTGAGGGGGATCCAACTGGGTGCTTAAGTATCCCTGTGGTACTGTGGCCTGTGGGTCCCCAGTCAGCTTTTTTAAGTCTCCACCACACTGCTTACCAGTCAGGTTGTGCTGAAGCTGATTCTTCTGTCTCTTCTAGCTCATAAGGCTTCTCTCTCACTATTATTCAGTTGTTTGTTCTGGATGATTTCTCCACAATTTAGCTGTAATTTCAGACTGGTCCTGGGAGGAGGTCAGTGTGATTTCCACTCAGTCCTCCGCCACCTTGCCCCTTGCATTGTCCTAAATCTTGGAGTGAGAATGGAACATGGACCCTATTGTCCACACTTCCTCGTCAGGTACCTCTTGCAGGGAGACATCGAAAAGTTGGGTAAAGTTTCTGCTTGATCTTAAACCCATAGGTGAAGGCATAACAGGCAAGGTACAGGGGAGATGCAGGTGAGAACACATGGGGAGGTGGAACTGAGGCTCTAGCAGATAAAAACCTTTCTTTCCCTTGGGAGGAGAAGCTAACTTTAGATTGCTTCCTTGCCTCTGCTGGGACCCTTTGAAGAGACCGAGAAGGGGCTATTAAGAGTCTATCAAGTAGATCATCCAAATTTTCTGTAGCCTTAGTAGCTGCAACCTTAAAAGGCCTTTGATCAGGGTCTTTGAGATGGCATTCTTCTCTAAGCATATGGAGCCATAACGGCCTGATCATAGGGAATTTTATTATACCTTTTTTCCCCCCCCTAGAGTAAAACAAAATGAGCTGTAGGATGGTTTTATGAGAAAGGGGGCAATTTGGTGTCTATTTTTCTTGGTCTCCAAGATGATAAGTAGGCCAATCGTGAGTGTAATATTTTGTGAGATTTTTTTCTTTTTAAGACACTTAACTGGAAGAGAGCCCAATTGTTTAAAAGGCATCCCAGAGGAGTAGGTTTAGGGATTCTAGGTCCTGGCTTCATGGCTTCCTATCAAGAGTAAAAATTTTCTACAGCCTGGCAAACATTGGGTTGGCCAAAAAATCCATTTGTTTTTTTTCCCATAAGATGGCTCTAGTAATGTTTAGTTGTCTTTAACTTCATTCAAAACAATTTTGTTAAATTGTATTGTGACAGCTGTCATATCAGTGTGCACTTAAAATAAACATCAAAATTGGCGAGTTTTTGTATAGCCATTTTAACATTGAAGAGGGAAGAACATATGCAATATTTATGGCATATTATGCTTTATTATTTCAAGACGGGTAAAAATGCAACTGAAACACAGACTTCTGCAGTGCATGGAGAAAGTGCTGTGACTGATCAAACATGTCAAAAGTGGTTTGTGAAGTTTTGTGCTAAAGATTTCTTGCTGGACAATGCTCCACAGCCAGGTAGACAGTTGAAGTTGATAGTGATCAAACTGAGACATTAATTGAGAACAATCAACGTTATGCCACATGGGAGCTAGCCATCATACTCAAAATATCCAAATCAATAAAGTTATTGATGAAAAGGAAAAATGTGTCTTTTATTTATTGGAAAAAACTAAATGAACTTTTTAACCAACTCAGTATTTATTTTAAAGAGCAAAAGCAGCCAGATCTTGTATGGGGATAGGTCTCAGTTTCCCCGTCTAGTGCTGATTCCTAGACGTTATAAATTTTTGTAATTAATTCTTTCCTGAGAATTGGACAGATGTTCTGTACCTTCTAGTTCATATTGAGGATGATAAAAATGTCAAATGGAACAACAAAGATTTGAAAGAGAGAGCCCCAATCTACCTCAGGGTCTAAGAAACATAGATGGTTGCAAAAACAACAGTCACAGCACCCAAGTGGAACTAAGTCTAAGGAAAAGATCTAATTTCCTGTCAAGGATAAGACAGTAGAGAAAGGTGGAGAAGAGAATAAAGGAAGGAGGAAAAATGTAGACCAATTGTTATCTGCCAGGGCTACCCAATGCCTGAATGTGACCTCAGTACTTCAGACAGCAGAGCTGCCGTGTTGGCCACTGAAAAACAAGAAACAAATCAAAAACAAAACTGCCAAAATAAAGTCAGAGGAAGTCCCACAATGAAATTAAAAATATTCACTAATTCTTGCCTAGGACTGAGGCACAAGTGTCTACCCACCCCAGGAGAGGTTGGAGGAAACCTCCCTCCACAGCTGCTCAGACTAGTCCTGAGAAATATCCACTCCTGCCGCTAGAGGCTCCTCAAGTCCTATCTTGCCTGCAGCCAAATTGCAGTCCCATCTGGGTCACCAAAGGTGAACTGAGAGTTTTGGTTTTTGTCTCCTGATATAAAAGAATTTAGAACAGGGACATTGATAAAAGCAAAGGCAGATTTACTGAGGTTCTGCAGAGGGCAAGGACACTGAGATGGGGTCCCAGGTTCAGTACCCCGAATGTAAGGCTTAGGGGTTTTTATGGCTTATGAACATGGAAGTTGGTAGAGTTAACCAATCAGGGAATAGGTTAGCAGACTTTTCCTGTTTTGGAACACTGATCTCCAGGTATAAGAACACTGAAGTCCGGGTATACATCAGTGAAGTGAAGCATTCGGGGATTGTGCAGCACTTATTATGGGATGCAGGAAAAGACTTTTCCAACCAGGTATTATGTTTGTCTCTGTGATTGGTGACTTGGCTTTAGAGGTGAAAAACAAACTTAAAAAAGTCAGGGCAGTTCCTGGACCATTGTTTTATAACTGCCTATTGATAACTACTGTAGTACTGGCAGGGCTTAACTCACTTAATTCAATGGGGAAATTTGTTCTCGTAGGACTTGACTCAATGGAGTAATTTTGAGGAACATTTTATTCTACCCATTTCAAGTTCACTGTATTTTCTTCACTATAAATTCAGCTGCTGTCAGAGAACCAGGAACAAGTGTCTATTAGAATCACCTTATTAGTCATGATTTTTTTTTTCTATTTTTCTATTTAATAGGGACATACAGTGGAATCTGGGTTCTTAAACTTCCAGAATTTGTTCTGGAAGGCTCTCCGAGAAGCAATTTGTTCAAAAACTGAATCATACAGGTGACTGATCATACAGGTATCAGCATGAAAGTTTTGTCGGTTTGAGAACCAAAGTTTTGTTTGACAACCAAGACATTATTTTCCATAAAAAACTTGGACAAGAACTGAATTGTTCAAGATGAGAGATGTTTGAGAACCAAGGTTTGACCGTATTTCCTTTTGGGAATTAATCATGTTGAAGGCTGAATTTTTCCTTTGAGCATGACAACTTTTGTTTTGTTTTTAGACACTAAAAGTGAAGTATTCTGAAAAGGCACTGCCTACTGCTTCTCTGAGTATGAATTTCATTGGCCTTGGGGACTTATGGTTATTATGAATGTAATCTCATACCACCCTGGGTTATTCTTATTGTTCATATTAGCTGCCTGCTCTCTCTAATCTTCAGTGGCACTGTCTTGGGTCTTTGTCGGGGTGTTTCTGTTAAGACAGAAAAGCCAAAGTAGGAAGTGGAGTTCAGGGGTAGGGTGGGCCTGGTGCAGCTTGGCTAGGCTTCCGTGCATCTTCCCCAAGCTCCATGTCTTCTAACTGCTCTTTCCCCAAGGCAGGTCCTGCCCTGTAATGATTAAAAGGCTACTGTAGCCCATTTCTGTATCCTGTCTTTTCTGGCAGGTACATGGGCAACAGTCCTTTTCCCAACCACGTCTTTGTGTTTCCTTCCTAGGGGCCCTGATAGCACCAAATGGCCAAGCGTGAACTTGTCATTTATGCCAGGGACCATGACGCTGGAAATAACCATAACAAACCCCTTAGCAGGCAGGGTGGGTCCCCAAAAAAACAGAAGGCAGGATGGTCCCCAAAATAAATCAGGGCTTTACCAGACAGGGGCAATAAGGACAATCTCATCTGTTTTAAGTCTATCTATAAGCTTGTTATGATGCCCCACCTGGGATAGTGTGGATACAGACTATCCCGTAAAAAAGCAGTCTTGCCATGTCTTCCCACAGCACCCAGGTGTGCACAAGTGTATATTTCCCAGCGAGTTGGTACTCTGTACATTCACACTCCCTCAGGTGGGCACCTGGGAGTCTCCCCAGCCTCCCTTCCCCTATCCTTGAGGAAGAAGAACAAATATCATCCCTGGAAAGTGCCATTCCCAGCTCCTGCTTTGGAGGCAGCATTAGGTTCAGGCTTTGTGGGAGCCGAACTGGCCTTTTACATCTCACCTTTCATAGCACCAGCTCAATGTATTTCTATGTCCAGTGAAGGACATGGAAAATCTCATCCATCCATATAGAGTATAAGGATGACCTGGGTGATGGGATGTCTCACATGCAAACATGTGTTTCTCCTATATGTAGTCTGTGATGTTGATTTAACTACCTGGAGATATTTTTGTATCCTCATTCTCACTTACATTCTAGATCAGTGAGATGACTGGAATGGTCTTGTCCACGTGTCCAATCTGGTAGCTACTGACCGCATATAGCTACTGAGCACTTGAACTGTGGCTACTGCCAGGAAGTAACTGAATATCCTATTCTGTTCTGTTTGTTCTATTCTAATCTATTTTATTCTCATCTATTGTTTTTAGTTATATTTAAATAGCCACATGTGACTAGTGTTACCGGACAGCACAATAATCAGACGATGGATTTTTTTAAGTGGTCCCTTTTGAGTGAATAGGTCCCTTCTAGTTTTCTTCTTAGGATTATATTCAGCAACAAAGAAACAGTATTATTTGATCAAAAACATCAGCACAAACACAAGAGAATGAACAAAATAAAGCTTTATTTGGACTTCCCTACAGATCATTCTGAGGCCCGGGTCACTGTCTAAGATTGCATCTAAGTCAGTTCATAAATAACACCATAACTACAGCCTGCCAAGTCTACCACAAATGTGACAGGTCCAGGTGCATGATGCCCTGTGGCTAACACTGCAACAACAGACCATCATTCAGTATATCTGTGTGCAATAGCCAATGGCCACCCTTTTGGGTGTCACAGGTGTAATCGCCTACTCACCTGAGAAGCCAGTGCAGCTACAGTCCACAGTAAGTGTTTAGCACTCCAGACACCCCTTGAACTCCTACACAGGTGCAAGGCACCATAGACTGTGAGGTAAAGACAAGGATAATCTTTCCCTGTCCTCTAGGATCTAACTCAGCAAGGCTACCTTCCCCTGCACTCCACACCATCAATCCCGGCATGCTTGGATAATAAAGAAACACTTTGTGACTTGATGATTTCCATCATCTTGCAAACTCTTCAGAGGACTTAAGGCACATTGAAAGAGAGAAACTTGATTCAGAGCTCCAGCTCTCACCACTGGACCCACATGGTTCTTATGCCCCAACCACAAAAGGAAGAACAGGCAGAGTTTGCAAGGACCTGGTTATAGCCAAATTAGTGCTCTAAGTTACCTTAGTTTTCACTGGCTTCCCTGGACCACCCCACAAGAGGCATCCAAGGTAGAGAGGGAGCAATCTTTCCAGATAACAGCTTGGAGAAACAGAACGTGTGACTGGAGTAGCTTTAGAACGTAAAGGTGAGGACTTTTGTCACCACTTTACCGGTTGAGTTTCATTGTACACAAACCAAGGGAAGTAGAAATATACACCAGAAAAAGATGCGGCACACCCAAGCATTCTCAAGATAGCGGTGTTTAAATTGAGGTACCAACATTGCCAATTCAGATTTCCAAATGTGCCAAACAATAATTAAAAGTGCACCCTCTGATCCTCTCCATGTTTCCTCATAGCAAAGGCAGAAAAGGATATTTTCATAACTTTAACTGTTACAAACAGCATGTACAAGCAAATCCACACATATGACACATGGACTTGCATGTTATTCTTCAAAAATATAAAAGTATAAAAATAAAACTTCTGCCTTTTGTATCTAGAAACATCTGGAAAAAACATAAGTGCTCCTAGTACTCGGTCATCTGAGTAGGCACATTCTGCCAGATGTTTCACCTTCCTGTGATGTCTGGAAAGGACACAAGAACAGACGACAGGGACTCTTCATTCCATGAAACCAAATTCAAGACAAGTAGAACAAACGCCAACCACAAATTACAGTACCCCTGCATGGGTTCTTCAACAGAAAGAAGGAAGGGGTTTTAGCATGATCTTTACATTTGGGGCAGTGTGGGTTCTGTGCTAGGAGGGGGCTGCTCTGGGACATCTAAAAACAAGCTAAGTGAGAGCTATGTTCTAGAAGAACAAGTTAGGGGCTAGGGCACTGAGTCTTGGCCACAGCCCATCACTGACTAGCAGCCCTTTTGTCTATGTGTTTCTGGTAGGCACTCAGTATTTCTGCGATTATGCTGGGGTCCTCCAGAGTGGTGGTGTCCCCCAGATCCTGAGCTCTGCCCGTGATTATCTTCCTCAGGAGCCTCCGCATGACTTTTCCAGACCGAGTTTTTGGAAGACGTTTCACTATCTGGAAAGGAAGGGGTACAACATTAAAATCTGGAAAGGTGCCCAGATTCCCAGCCATCCGACTGTACTGAGATAAGAAGGGCTCTTTCCCAGGGGAAAGTGGGGCCCGTGTGTCTCTGGTTTCATCCTCCTACAATCTGGACCTGAAGTTGTAATCAACCAAAAGGGAAGATTCAACCGTGAATCATGCTGAAGCCTCCATCAGGCCGGGGTTCACCTTACTGCCAACACCCCTGTCTCCCATCAACTACATTAGTGAGGGCCTTCAGGTGGCAACAGAACCAAGCATGTGCCACAACATCTCATCTCCACCTCCTGGCCTGGTCTGGGTTGGTTCTGTCTTACGTATGAGATGAGAGCTACTTAACAGAAAAAACACTATCTTGCTTAGTGTTTGAAAATTTAGCATTTTACATTTTCAAAAAGCCACAGCCCGTTCAAAGTCAGTGGTAATACATTAGGAGCTGCATTTGGGCACTTTAATAACTCTGGTCCCAAGGCCAACAGTTTGACCTTGTGTCATACTAAATGAGGCTTCAGAGGACCACTTCCAGTCAAAAGAACACCATGGGGGAAATGTTAATAAAGGAAGGGATGAAAAGCTAACATGGCTGAGAGGTTGGCCCAATTTTTTCGTGAAACTACTCCAACACAGGCTCCAGATAGGATCTAGTGGCATCTCCTTTGCTGGCACAGGGAAAGGTGTTCAGAAACCACCCAGGGGCTGAAGAACTCTGGTACTTTCCACCTATTTCTCTATTTAAAATCCCTTTTTTTTTGGCTTCCATGTGCCAAAATAAGAGTATCTAATCTGGACCAGCACTACCCCCTGAACAGGCGAACTGTGAAACTTCTGTCACTGTGCCTCCCTGCCCCTTTCCCTCTCTCTCTGACAATACACCCATCTGCCACCCTCACCTACCACCCAGGAAATCAAACAGCTAGTGCCAGTTTTGCTATGATGTTAGTTATGGGAAGTGGAGAAGAAGGTGTAAGATGAGCAGTGCGTTTGAACCGGAGGCAGAAGCGCACTTACCAGGATCTGATCAGGCACAGCGTACTTGGCAATCTTGGTGGCCACTGCGGACTTGAGCTCACTCATCACCACCTCTGAGTCGCCTGCATCGTCTTTCAACACGATGAAGGCAAATGCAGCTGAAAGGAGAGCAAGATTTTGGGATGTTAGCCAGAGTATTATACACAAATCGCCATAAATTCAAATGATTTCAAATCATATGTTAGTGACCTTGTAGCAGCTGGTTTCTTTAGTTGCATCCTAAAGATGCATTATCATTTTCAAAGTGGAAGGAATTCTGTCAGCCCGCTGAACATGCCAGTGGGTGGGCATGTGTGGGTGAGAGCTTGGCACCATAGCTCTGGTGTTGACCGGCTGTGTGTGTGACCATGGACACAGGAATTATCCTCTGTAACTGTCCTAGCACCTGTGAAATAGCCTGTTACATGGACTCACTAGAGATTTACTATCATCTCTTGTGAGATGGTACAAGGGAACATGGCACATGGCACTAACTTTGTGTATATGTGTCCAACACAGTAAGCACTAGCTACAATGGCTATCTATATTTAAATTAAGTTAAAAGTGCAGTTCCTTGATTACACAAGCTGCATGATGAATAGCTCCATCATGGCAGAAAGTCTGTTGGGTGGCAATGGCCTTCCCATACCTTAGCAAAGATACTTTGCCAATACCCTACCATGCTCCAGAAAAAATTACAGTGGCTCCCACAGGTCTTTAAATGCGTTTCTTTTTAATCTACTTGGGATAATTTTGTATATTGTATGACATAAGGATCTAATTCAACTTTTTGTCCATAAGAGCAGTCACTTGTCCCAGAACCATCTTGGAGAGTGTGTCCTTTCCCCCACTGACCTGCGATTTCCCCATCTCTCATACACAAAGTTTTATATATGTGTAGCCCTCTTTATTGTTGTCTGTTCATTCCTGTACCCCTTCCACGCCATCTTAATGAATTCTCTCTCTGGCATCTATCACCTAATATACTATGCAGTTTCCTTATTGATCGTGTTTATTATTTCTGTCTGTCTCTCCCCTCTAATCCCAAACCACTATAGCATGTCAGCTCCAGGCAGCAGGGACTTCTGTCTCTTTCAGTTTCTATTGTGTCTCAGCATCTACAGCTGTGCCTGGAACATAGGAGGTACTCAACAAATGTTTGTCAGATGAATCAATGAATGACTTTCCTGAATAAATTACAATCTGTAGAGACCTATAACCTTTGCCTGAAAGATGCCCCCTCCCATTTCTACCTGGCAAACTCCTACTTATTCCTCAAGACCTAGTTTAGCTACCTTGCCCTCTGTGAAACCTTTCCTGACTCTGTCCATAAATTCAGCTGTGGCACTTGCTATGTGTGAACAGTTATTGGTCTCCCATGCCTGCCTCACTAGATTGTGAGATCTTTCAGGGGAATAAACGCACTTTTCTCTCCTCTTGGTATTTGAGGTTCCAGGCAGTCTAGTCCCACACCACAGGGGCTCAGAGGAAAGGGACAAAGCTAACACCTAAGCTGGCTGAGAATGCCCACTGAGAGATATCTATTGTGGGTTTACTTAAAATTTTAAAGCCACCAACGCAACATATACTGATTATCAAACATTAAAACACTGTAGAAGTATATAAAATAAAACTATACCTCGTTTCCCTGCCTCTTTCCCTTCATTTCCCCTCTTAAAGGCAGTGCAGGATGGTGGTTGGGAGAGACTACTCTGGCTCTATATCCTGGCTCTGCCACCTGCTAGCTGTGTGGAAGGCACTTAACCACTCTGTACCAGTTTTCTACTTGTAAAATGGGGAACTAACAGCACCCAGACCCAAATTTTAAAGTTGATTTCTGGGTTTATATTGCCATCCTTAAAACCCTAGTAGGATCACAGTGGACATGCTGCCCTGCGTGTTTCCCTCTTGTCTCTCATCGGTTTCCTTTTCTGCCAGTCGCTTGTATCTCTAATGAGATGGGAGTGAACTTAGCCTAGATTGTTGAATCCTGAGCAGAAGTGGATCAGGAAAGCCTCAAGGTCAAAGGAGGAGCCCGCCTGAGAGCCTAGAAGAGGTACTGAAGGCTGAGCTCAAGGACTGGTGGGATAGGAGGATGGCAGAGGAGCCACTCATCGGTCCAATCAAGTACAGAAAGTGTGGGGACAAATAAATGCACCGCAGTTTTAGCAGATGGCTTTAGAGTTTACCAAGAACAGTGAATGGATTATTCATGTATTGCAAATGGACAGATGCTCAAATTTGTAAGAAATCAGGAAAATACATATTATCATACTGACGATATACAAATTCTCTCCCACCAGTCTGGCAGACATTAAAAGGCTTTGTAATATCAAAGTCACTTAGGATCCAGAAAACAGTGCTGAGAGCTGCTTATGGGAGGATGAGGTGCCTGAGGCCTCTGAGAGTCACACATGAAGACCTGTTCCCATTTCCACCCCCTTCTGATACCTAACAGCTCCCCCATACATTCCCAGTCTTCTGTTAACAAAGGGACTTCACGGGCACACCCTTCTCATGGCAACTGAACACGTTTTTGGTTGTTTTTTTTTTTTAGAGCACTGAAATAAATACTAATTTTTACAATGGGTCATTTTAGAGAAAATGTTGAGCAAAGAATGGAACAGTGGCACACGGACATAGAAGGGAGGAAGGTGACCTTAAGGACACACTTGACACAGAATGTATCCAACAATAGGAGGAAGAGTACCCAATCCCACACACTTGGAAAGGTAGTAGAGATCAATCTTTCCAGCACTGCAGTACAGGATCAGTGAGTGTCCAGGTCACACCAGGCCAGACCAGTGTGGCCACTGTGCACCTGGCATTACAACACTCAGGTGACCCTGCCCCTTCGCAGACCCACCTGCTTAGAAACTGGCAGGCTTTGAAACAAAGTGTGTCCTCAGTAAAGAAGACAATACTGATTACTTGTTCTGCATTCCCCTCTGCATGTCGCTGTGCAGTGGGAACCACAGATCAAATTCCTCTAAGAAGAATCCCATAGCAGCAAAAGAGCCCACTTCAGGGCACATAGCTGCAGAGTTGGCAGTAGATGCTGTGTATGAGCACGTGCAAGGAGACACTGTGAGCAGGACAGAGCATTTCATCCTAAGTCCTCTGTAATGGGGCTGCCAGAGTCGTCATGGACACAGTCGTGAACTCTCCAAGCTCAGCTGAAGCCAAAGAGCTTAGGGCTGCAGAGCTAGATCATTTCAGAAATCTGACCTTAGTCTAACAAGCATGCTGCTCAGCCTCCTCACCCAAAATCTACACTTGAGAGAGAAGAAAACCAATAGTTTCACCCAAAAGCACCCTGCCACCCATCCTCCAGAGTCTGTTCTTTTTACAAAGACTCTGTGATGGGAGTGAGATCAGAGATGAGAGGAGTTCCTTCCCTAGCACTCACCTTCTCCTTTTATGTTGTGGGGGTAGCCAATGACAGCGGTCTCTGGCACTGCAGGGTGGCTAGCCTGCACAGAACAATAAAAAGGCAAAATATGTGGGAGGTAGAACACCTGATTGCAAATTACAGCTCCCAATCTGAGACCAGCATGGCCTGTGCTCACCATCGCATCCTCGATCTCTGCAGTCCCCAGTCTGTGGCCGCTGATGTTGATGACGTCGTCCATCCGCCCTGTGATCTGGTAATAGCCTCCCTCAGTTCGGTGAGCTCCGTCTCCAGTGAAGTAGTATCCTGTACCACAGTGAGGGAATTCAGAACCAGCACCTCTGAACCAGGACCCAGAGAGGCTCTTGTCCTTCCACAAAGGACACAACGGCACCCATGTCCCACCCTTGCTCTATAGAAGAAAGCTGTGAAGCCCTAAGTTCCACTGACATTCTGCCTGCTGGCCCTCCTTGGAACCCCACATGGAGATACTCTGTAGATGTGATATTTGGCTGTATGGTAGTGAAAGGGCAAAGGGCTCTGACAGAGCAATCAAGACTACACATGTCTTGGGAGCAGAGGACGTACAAGGAGCGCACTCAAGCTTCCCAAAAAGTGAGTCTCATTTACAGGCTTGAGACTGAAGATAATGGGTTCCAACAGGTACACGGTATATGTAATTTTCCAACCCAATGACATAAAAGCAAACTGGGAAAAAAGTAAGCCAGAAGAAAACTTACAGCCATCATGATAGTTTTCCAAGGTGGTTTCTTCACTTTTCTTTCCTAGTAGCCTAAGGAGTACTCACCGTGGGCCATGTGCTCAGGGATCTGTGTGCTCTCCCACATAACCCCATAAGGTTCCTGAGGTGAGTCTTTTTCCATTTTAGACATAAAGTCAGGGATGAAAGGGGGGCTGGGGGAGGACTCCAACCCATGCCTCCAAAGTGCCGGAACTATGCTCACAGTCACCATTATCTTAGAAATGTTTTCTGAGTATAATGTTCCAGCACCATGTGGAAAGGCATAACACAACCACATTATAGTCACCTCACCTGGATAAGCCTTGAAGTAGGCATCCACAAATCTCTGGTGGTCTCCGTAGATGGTCCTGGCCATGCCTGGCCAGGCCTGGGAGAGGCACAGAGCCCCAGAGACATTGCTGCCCTCCACCACAATCCCCTGCAGACCAGGGAGACATGCACATGAGAATATGGACAGATTCTGGTTGAGAAGCAAAGAACTGACAATGAGAATTTCCCCTCTAACTTCTTGGCTAGAGGGAGAAAAATGATAAGCATGCTCTGAAGGAACTGTCCAGAGCTTTCCCCTCTGCAAGAAACCCTCCTCGAGAGGGCTTCTGAGGATAACCTGGGCTCGTCCCACATGGTGATTTTATCCACTGTGTCTCTAAAAGGAGGCTCTGCAGTGCATACTGCATGAGGACACAGGCCCTTTCTGCCAACTACCAGACTCTGGGCATGTGTGACATGGACGTGTGGGCAAAGGAGGCCAAGAAGACAAAAGGAAACACCAGGGAGCTCGGTGGGGTGCCCATGGAAGAGGGAGTCACCTCTGTGAGGCCCTCACATACCTTCTCATCCATGAGAACTGGGACAATGCCAAAGAAGGGCCTCATTGCCATGCCGGGGAGGATTTCTGCCCCTTCTTCTGAGGGCCGAGGCGCGATGCAGATGCCACCTGTTTCTGTGGGGGTGACAGGGAAGAAACACCAATGGCCCAAGAGACCAGTGACACATTTATCCAGGCCATGCTGTCAAGAACCTTGGACAGGCACACTGGCAGGTGTTCTCCCAGAGTGGGAGGTGGGTGGAATTGCCCATCTGGGGCAAAGACATGGCCCCCACTGGCACAAGGACTTTTCCATGAGGCAAAAGTAGACTTGGGTTCGGGTCTCTTCCACTGTGGAATGGGAGTAGGGTGGGTGCTGCCTTTCCTCCTCTGAGGCCCTGCTTGCCCAGCCTTTGCTTCAGTGGGAAAAGTGGAGTCTACCTACTTGCACAGGAAGATGGGGAAGAATTGCTTCTGCACCACTGCCCCTGTCCACACAGACCAAACATCAAAAACAGATGTCCACAAATTTCTTTTTCATGTTATTTCTCTGGCACTTCCCTCTATCAGCCTGCATGGAAATACCTCACAAAACTCAGCTGTAATCTTACTCCTGTGTTCTCCTGAATGAATGAGAACTAAGCCATTCAGAACATCCAACTTTCTGGCTTCTGGAAAGACGAGATATCAGCTACATCTCTGGTGGTCTCCCCCGACAAATATCCTAAGTCAAATACCCAAGAGCAGAAGGAGCAAATCTAAACAAAACACCACAGAAAACTCCTTTTCCCACTAAAATTTAGGTTTAGACTTACAGCCCCTTAAACAACAGGGCTCATTCTCATCATATGTACTTGCATTCATAAAGTGGCCCTTATGAGGAAAGTAAACATTTAGCTGCGTGCTTACTACAAGTCAGGCCTTGGGCAACATGTGTTCATGGTATTTCATTCCCTCCTCATCCATGGCTTGGAAGGAGCACCCCCATTTTACAAATGAGGAAACCAAGGTTCAGAGAAGTCCCGTCTTACAGCTGCAAAGCTGTGCTCCAACTCTGAGCTTTAGACACCAGATTTTCAGCAACCACATATGTTGAGGGCTGAGGCATTAGTGGTGCTGGTATCATTTACATAGCCTCATACCTGTCCTTCCTACTCAGTGCTTAGCTGTGTGTTCTCAGTGTACTAATGCTGACAGCAGAGCTGTTGAAGAAGGGACGCACTAGTACTTGGTTCCCAAGTGTGCCTTGACCCCTCCTCCTGGGAGATGCTCTCACCTGTCTGCCACCACGTGTCCACCAGTGTACATCTACTGTCTCCCACCACATTGTGGAGCCACTCCCAGGCCTCGTGGTTGATTGGTTCTCCCACTGAAACCACATACAAAATAGAAAAAGATATTAATAGACCACAATAAACCTGAAACCAAAAGGAATATATTGTTAAGGTGAAAACAGCTCTATAATTTTTCTCAAGGACATAAAAGGAGGTTCTAAAAAGCAGTGAGAACTGTGATGTTATGGCCATCAAAGAAATACAAATTTCAATGAGATATTTTCACTATTGGAGGTTCAAAATTTTTTTAAAAAATTGACAAGAGTATAGGGGAAAGAATGTCACATGCATTTTAGGAGTGTAATTTGGTATAGCAATTTTGGGGAGCGATCTGGATATTTCTCTTAATATTTAAGAGTACATACACCCTATACAACTATGTTGGTCAACTGTTTGGAGTGGATTACACTAAAGTTAATGTAGGTTTATCCTATTACACAAAAATGTCACTCCTGGCACACACCCCGCAAAAACAAGAGCCTATGTCCATTAAAAGTGGACACATATAAGAATGTTCACAGTGGCCAAAAACTAAAATGCTATCCATTACAAGTGAAATGGAGAAATAAAGTGTGGAGTATTCATGCAGTGAACTACCATACAGCATGAAAACGAGTAAGCCACCACTACACTCAGTATGGATGAACCTCAGAGTCATGGCCCCAAGCAATTGCAGCAGGCACAATAGTAACACATGCATAATAAGTCAATGTACACAAAGTTCAAGAAAAAGCAAATCAGCCCACACTGAGAGTAGCCAAGTAGTGGTCATGTCTGAGGGCTCTTGATTGGGAGGGAGCATATAGGAGCCTTCTGGGGCCTTGAAATTTCTATGGCTTTATCTGGGTGTGGTAACATATATGTACATATGTAAATGTTCTCAAGCTGAATGCCTCACATTCATGCATTTCACTGGATTTTATACCTTAATAGAAAGGGAAAAGTGCTTATGCCCTATGACTCTGTTCTGATTCTCAGTATCTACCTTCTGTGGTCTGAATGTGTATGCTTCCCAAGTTTATGTTGAAGTCCTAACGCTAAGATACTACACTGATGAAACACCCACACCAGACTAGCATTCAGCCAGACACTGCAGGTTGAGACACACTGTTGCTAAAACACTAAATACTCTCATGATGATTGCTTCTTGTTCAGGACTACCCATAATGCAGCGGTTAACCAAGGTCTGTCCTGACTGGGGTCTCCCGTGCTGGTCACACAGGTGGCGGGGAGTCATGTACATTGCCCCTGCACTCATGCATGCCCACAAGGAGGCAGGAAGATGCCAATGCAACACTGGATGATACTGGGAAACTGCCAACATCCCCAATAGCCAATCACAGGGAAGTGACTACAAGAACCATGGCAATCCCCACAGGAAGGTGTGAGCAAGTTTTCAAACAAGATGGCAGAGCCATATGAAAAACTCTATGGTTGAGTTAAACTAAGTATCACATTATAATAGTACAGTGTGATCACGTTCATGATAAAGAAATCACCTCAGAGCCGAGCTGTGTCTTTGCATAGGGATATAGCTTGGAAGAATGCACTGAAAGGTATACAAAGGTCCCCTGGAATAGTACTCATGGAGGACAAGCGCTTTCATTGCAGAGTACAAAGTTTTGCATTTTACAATAAGATTATACCTATGTGTTACTTATAAAATTGAAAGTTAAAATAATTATTTTGAGAAATACATATCTTGGGGTAGAGGTATTGAGTGAGCTGGATTCTAATGACCACTAAGACTAAATGAAGACAACACACCCAAAGCCAGTAGTGCTGTGAGGGCTAATCCAGCTGCCTAGAATGGTCCTGAGCTATTACCACAGCAGAAGACTAGCACCAAGTTGGCCTTGCCTAGGTATGAAGCATATAGCTCATCTGAGAGCCGACGGCACAAGGTCCAGAGCAGCCCCAAGGAAATCCCCAGGGGAAGCGGCATAGAGAGAGGCTTTGAGGGAGGGTGGGATCCTGAGGTGGAAGGGGGCAATGGGGCATTGTAGGCAACATTGTAGGGGACAGAGTGAACCAGGGCCCTAAGTCCTGTATCAGCATTGCTTGCCTCATCACTGACAAGTAATGTGTGCACACCATCACTGAGCCCCCTTTTCCACAGACAAAACTGGTAGAATGATACATCCCATGAAAAACTATGAAGCAGATCTGTGTATTCACCCAGGGGCATCGAGGGCCTCTCATCTTTTTTTCCTCCTAACCACACCTGAGAACATGTGTAGGGGAAGAAATAAAATGCACCAGGAAAAAGCAGAGAGAACACGCAGGACCTCCCAGTACCCTCTGAATTAACCCAATTTTACCTTTGCCAAAAGCTTTCATGTGACTTGGCAACCTTTGTCAAACTAAAATTGAAGATAACCCACAGCTACCTGCCTGGAAATATCTAAAGTGAGAGCAGTGCACAGCACAGAAGGACATTTATTACAGTGTTTGGAAATAATCATCATCCAACATCACAGGAATACTCACTGTACAGCAACTGATTTCCACAAGGCGATCCCATGCAGCCACTGAAGAATGGGCTCGGGCCGTATACCTTATGGAGTTGGTGAGGACTCATGAGGATGAAATCCACAGTAAGGATGGGTACACAAAGTGTCTGGAATGCTGTGCTCCATACTGTTAATAGCTGTAGGCTCTGAGGAGGGGCTGACAAGTTTCTGCTTCCTACCTGATGCATTGTTTGAATGCACCACAGACATGGCCACATAGCTTTCATGATTAAAATCATGTAGAAGCCTGCAGTGGCTCTGACAGACAATACACACATCCTCTCCAGCTGCAGAGCAGTGCTCACCTGACCCCAGTGTCCGCAGGGATGAGCGGTCATACTTTCTCACCCAGGCATCGCCGTATTTCAGCAACAGCCGAATAGCTGTTGGGGCACCATAGAACTGATTGATCTTCAACCTCTGCACCATCTCCCAATACCGACCTACAAAATGACCCCAATTTAGTCAGTCTGAGAGCCCACCAGACAGTATCTATTTTAACCTAATTTAGAGATCAGTCAACACACTTGGTACTGAATACATGCACATACTTGCTTTGTTTACAAAAACAGGATTCAATACCCATCATGGGACTGGAAGGGAGACCTCTGGGAAGTGGGCCCTGTGGCAGTTGTCCCCCAGCGTACACCCATCGATAGGCTGGCCCATTTGTAAATAGCCTCTACCTGGCTCTGGACAGGTGCACCTACACAGTGTACCCTACATGATATAGTGAGGAATCGTTAAAAAGATGTTATTGTGAATTTTAAAATAAAACCCATGTAGCATTAATATAGAACTTGTGTTTAGTTGCATTTAAATGGTCTCTAAAGTGGTGACTGGTGATCCCCTGGAATACCACAGACAGGCCATGAAAGCATGTGTCCCAGGGAGCAGGGCAACTGCCCAGTATGCACTCACCTCATTTCCCATAAATCACCATTCCCACCACCCCAACTTACCACCATTGCACTAGACACGGGAATCTGCATTTCAAGAGGTTGAAGTGACCACGCCTAAGACATGGCTCTTAATCCCTAGCTATGCCCCCTTTATATCTTTCCTAAAGAGCATACAGCCTCATTGGGAAGCTAGAGAGGAACAAGGGGAGGTGACAAAGATGTTCCACACACAACTGTCAGTGCTGTGGGATGTTTGGGCGAGAGCCTTTGGGCAGGGCCAACACCATTGGATTACATTAAAAAATACTTGAGGACACTGTGCTGAGTGGGAGGAAGATGCCAAGGTGAGCAACACATGGCCAAGTCCTTCAAATGAAATCAATTCATGGAGGTAGCTCCAGGCCACGCATGACACACTCTGACAAAACAGCCCTGGAGGCACAGGTAGACAGCTGTGCATTAAGTCTTCTCCATCTGGGGGACCTGTGGAGGTTGGCAGTTGGCCTGGGCTTCAAGGAAATACTGGATCTGGTCTGGTGGCCACAGAGGTAAGAGGGACAGTGCTAAGGGAGAGGCCTGAGACAGGCAGTTTAAGTTAAAGAATGCTGGAATGGGTGGTCTTGAGATGGCTTCCACTACCAAATTAGACCTCCTTCTATTGCTCAACTGATCATATTGTGGACAAGGCCCCCAGCTCTGGCCCACCTGGCATGGCCCAAGGTTTGGCAGCTATGTGATGGGACCATGAACCACAGCCAGGCCAGAGAGCAGGCCTTTATACCACCCTCCTGTGCATCTCTCCTCCTTCCTCAAGCTCCATCCCAGGAACCCTATTTGGGTGTCCAGTCCTCACCAGCATCAGGGTAAACTGGGGTGCTCTCAAAAAGGACACTGGTTGCTCCATTGCAGAGGGGTCCATATACCACATAGCTGTGTCCAGTGATCCAGCCGATGTCGGCCACACAGCCAAAGACATCTCCTGGCTGGTAGTCAAACACAAGCTGCAGAAACAGGAGACGCTGTCAGAAGCTTATGACCCCACATTCCCACTTGTCACCTAGAATGTTCTATAACTACAAGATACAGCTGCTCCACTGGCCACCTAGAGCAGGGGAATAAGTTAAAAGACAAGAGTTACTGGTACAAGCACATAGTGACTCTCTCAGAGGACAGTAAAAGCAGCCAGACCTCAGAGTGTACACTGCATGATCCCCAGCTTGAGAAAGCCAATCTGCATCCAGAGGTCACACTAGAGCTGGTCTTGCTGGGGTACTGCTTTTGAGCGGCACGTCAGGGCCTTCCAGGGGCTGAAGATGCCCCATGCCCATGTGTACTCACAGGTAAAACTTTACCTAGTGGTATGTACAAGGGCATCTCTCTGAATTAAATTATGCCACACTTTTTGAAATCCTTTATAAACTGCAGAAAATTAAAATAAAAAAGACCAAGAAATCCCTCAAGCATCATTAGCTTCGAAGAGCCTGAGAGGAGAGATAGCTGTCTCCTGCATTCTTGCCAAAGGGTGCAACCTGAGCCTGATTACATCCTTGGATTTAAATGCCCTTTGCAGGAAACATGGAGGACAGAGGGTTGAACAGCCAGGTGCTGCAACGAAGTTGAAGGAAGGGGAAGGAATGGAGGGAAACCTTTAGGTTAAAAAAGGTTTAAAAGATATAACAAAAAAAGTCAGTGGCAAGAGTAAGCTATAGGATCTAGGGATGCACATGCAGGTGATAACTAGAGAAAGGAAAACACAAGACACTGATGCTATACAAGTCAGGATGCGGGGTGAGGGCTGAGGGTGGATGGGCTGTGAAAGGGCTTCTGTGGGAATGATGACATTCCATTTCCTGAATGAAGTGGGTTTGCCTTATAATAATTTATTAAGCCACACATTTGATTTGGATGGTTTTCTGTATATGTTCTATTATTATGCAATACAATTTTTTCAAATCGGGGAACAAGGGGCTCCAGTCTTCTGCTGCCAGAGAAAAATGGTGGGATCCTCCAGGAGTTCCCAGACAGCAGAGTGGTGGCCTGGACATGGCTAGGTCCCCATGGAGTCGTGTCTGAGCAGGAGGTGAAGTGGGGTGGATTCTTTCAAGGAAAACTGCACTTTCACTGCCACGGTGAATCAGGACACCCACATCCCCAAAACCCCACAGCATTTTGGAGAAGCATTTTTAATACAACTCAGACCCAAAATGCCAAGTCTTTCAAGGGGCTGGAGATTTTTTTCCTTGCAGTCCTGGGGCGAGCCATTCTTCAAAAGGCTTAGCGGGAAGCTTGTGCCCTTGACCCTACTGCACACTACCAAAATCATTTCACACCCCCATCATCCCTTCAGAGTCAACTGTCCTTTTCCCTGAAGAAACCAATTCCCCTAATATCCTCTGCATGTGCATACAAACATGCATGCACATAAAGACGCATGTACATGTACATACACAGACACATGTGCACAAACTTTTATCTATAGAAGGCTCAATGTTTCTACTCCTAATACTTAAAAAAAAAAAAAATCTCAGTGTATTAGAAAAAAATTCAAAAGATTGTCCTTGTCCATCTTTTAAAATGCAAAAAAATAATCTCTCATCTAATGTTAATTTTATTCTACATTGATGGAAACAATTTGATTCATCTTGTGTCCTTCTTGGTATTTAGTCCTAGTGTTTATATTTTCCAAAGTATTTTTACTTACGTGATGTGTTTATCTTTGCAGTATCCCCACTAAGAAGAAAAGGCAGGGTTTTTTCAGATGAGAACATTAGGTCTAGACAGATTCTGTGACATGCTTAAGGTCACCCAGCAGCTAGGAGGCAACTGTTTTAATAAGGATTTGTATTAAGTGAAACATACTATGCGCTTAGTCTGGCTCTGTACCACATCTGTCTTTCTGCCTCACTTTCAACATTCTGAAGGTTGGGTGTGAGTGGCAACCAGGCGGGGGCCGCTTTGAGTGGTATCGAGGACTGTAGTCCCTAGCAAGCTGGCACTGCGTTGGGACTTAGATTTAAAAGACTCTTTGGTCCCTCGCCCATCTCCAGGTAGCATTATAAGATCGCACCACCCTGGCCCTGCGAGGCTAAAGGAAGCTGCGAAGGAGGGAGATTGGGAAACTTTAGCTGCCTTCCCTCTTGTCAGGCAGAAAAGCAACCCTATGCATGAGCCTTTACCTTTAACAATCTTTAAAAATTTTAAGAAAATATTAAAGACAATGGGCTTCAGTCACCCTATACTTTCATACTTATCACAGCCATTAAAGGAGAAATAAACCACTTCTAGCCCTGCGTGGAAGGTGTTGGCTTTTCCAGGGATTTTTCCTCCTAACTATGCCTTTTCTTCACTCAAGTTTGCTTCATTTATAAGTTTCCCTCTCTTCATTTCGTAATATACTTCTTAGGTAAATGTTAAATGATAATAAAATGATAATATAATATAATATAATAAATAATAATAAATAAAATAATATGAAAATAAATGAGTATATAAATTCATAAATATATATGAATATATATTGATATATGTACATGTATGTTTATATACATATGTGTAGAATACATAAACATATAAATATAAAAATAAATAATGAATATATAGATAATATAAATAAAAATAAAATTTATAATAATAATACATTTTATAATAAAATAAATAATCTAATTATTTAGATTTTGTAAATCTAAATAAATAAATGAAGCAGCTGGAACTCTATTACTGTTAGCCTACGAGAATGTGAATAATGATTGTAAATAATGTTCTCAATCCTATTAAGCTAACCACCATTAATATCAGTCAATTCTTTAAGGCTTGCCAGAATGTAGGCACTGAATGCCACCACTCCTCCTTACTTGCTGCAGCTATTAAAGGAGGAATTAAGAGGGTGAAGGAGAAGGGTAAGAAGGAGTAAAGGAAAGAGATATATGCCATATCCATGCGTGGCATGGGAAGGAAGGACATTAGAAGTAGAAAATGAATGAAGGAAAAGTAAGTGTAAAAGTCTTTGAAACACTGTAAAATTCTAGACCTAGAAGCTACTAGGTCCTGAGAACAATAGGGTAATTAACTCGTGAATCCTAACAGCAGGGTGCCTGCCTCTCCTACACAGTAAAAAAAAAAAAAAAAAAAAAAAAAAAAGGGGCCACTTTTAAACTCAGGTGTTTTTCAGCTGCTCCTGAGGCCTGGGCCTATAACCTCAGCCTACTTCCAAGACTGATAATGGCCCTGGTTACATAGCAAGGTCGACTAAAGAGTTTTTATACAGATGGGAAATTCAGCACAAGACAGGAATTCCTTATAATCTTATCAGTCAAGCAATTGTAGAGTGAGCTCATCATACCTTTAAGTCTCTTCTTAAACAAAAAAGGGGTAGTCAGGATTCCTCCTCTAAAAATTTACTAATGATAGCCAATGTATACCTATAAGTCTCTCTCTTTTTTTAATTTATTTTTAAATTCATTTGTCTCTGCCTCCCCCCCACCACTTTCCCTTGCCCCCTCCCCCCTTCCCTCCCTCAGCTCTTCCCCTTTGGTTTTGTCCATGAGTCCTTGCTATATGTTCCTTGACTTTCCCCTTCCCTTCCCTTTCCCTGCCCCCTCCCCCCCTTCCCTCTTGTCTCTGTTGATTTCTTTTCCTTTCAGTGTTGCTGGTCTTATTTTCCTTGCATCTTTGTATTGTTGGTCAGGTTCCGCTTATAGGTGAGATCATATGGTATTTGTCTTTCGCCCCCTGGCTTATTTCGCTCAGCATAATGCTCTCCAGTTCCATCCATGCTGTCGCGAAGTTTAGTAGTTCTTTTCTTCTTTCTGCTGCATAGTACTCCACTGTGTATATGTACCATCATTTTTTGATCCAATCATCTACTGATGGGCATTTAGGTTGCTTCCAACACTTGGCTATTGTCAATTGTGCTGCTATGAACATTGGGGTGCATAGGTTCTTTTGTATTGGCATTTTGGTGTTCTTAGGGTACAGTCCCAGCAGGGGAATCCCTGGATCAAAAGGCAGTTCCATTTTCAGCTTTTTGAGGAAATTCCACACTGCTTTCCATAGTGGCTGCACCAGTCTGCATTCCCACCAACAGTGGACTAGGGTTCCCTTTTCTCCACAGCCTCGCCAGCACCTGTTGTTTGTGGATCTGTTTATGATGGCCATTCTGACCGGTGTGAGGTGGTACCTCATGGTGGTTTTGATCTGCATTTCTCTGATGGCTAGTGCTGCTGAGCATCCTTTCAAATGCCTCTGGGCCCTCTGTATCTCCTCCTTGGAAAAGCGTCTGCCCAGGTCCTTTGCCCATTTTTTGATTGGATCGTTTGTCTTCTTGGAGTGGAGTCGAGTGAGTTCTTTATATATCTTGGAGATCAAACCTCTTATTTGTGATGATTCACTACCTACTCCAAGAGAGAAACATTTCTGCTGGAGTAAGCCCAATGAAGGGCCCTGCCCCTTGGTATTTTATCGGGACCCCCTAGGAAATGGAAACTGTGGGGGACCAGTAGAATTGCTAACCTGGGGGAGAGGGTATGCATGTGTTTCAATCCCAACAGGACCATTGTGGCTACCTGCAAAGACTGAAGCCCTACCATAGACCTCCCATCTCAACCAGTCTGGATAAACCAGGCAGACACACCACACCTAATCAGCTGTGATATGACTGGGAGAACGCCAGGATGTCCTTGTCACCCGCAAGCAGCTCACCTGTGGTCCTGGCTTCTCCAAACTGTGCATCACCCCACTACAATGGAATTCCAGTCAACACTCTTGGGCAGAAGTGCAACACAGCCTTAGAGAGGCCTTCTCATCCAATCTGCAGGGCCAAATCGACCAGCTCCAGCTTGAGCTATGTCAACAACTCCAGGACATTAAGAGACTTACTAAGCAGGAAGTTTTCCAAACCTTCATGATATTTTGCAATGCCTCAATCCTAAATCTTGGTTTGAGGGCCTAAACCCCTGTGATGGGTCATGAGCGCTGCAGGATGCTTATGGTTATTATTGTCTCCCGTGCTTTGTGATGCATTTGCAAGCTGTTCCGCCAAGATAAAATGAGGGAAAAACAAGTAGCCAGTTTTGTCAGACTCACCTCCATGTCCATTCTAATAAACAAAAAAGGGGGCAATGTAGGGGGCTGCTTTGTGTGGTATTGGGGACTGTAGTCCCACGCAAGCTGGGGTCTAGGAGAGGAACCATAAGACTTGGCCAAAACAGTGGTAATGGGGTTGAAAGGCAGGACCCGATAATAATTCCAAGGGCCCCCGGGGGAAATCAGGCCTGGAAGTAAGTTACACTCCTTGAAGCACGCTTTGTTTCTCCCTCAAGCTCTGTTAATCTTATACCAGATAACCAGTTCAAGGCTGGGAAAGAAATTTACAAAATTCCTGGACCCTGATCCAAATCCCATCTGGCACCATGTTTGCTCATCTCGGACCCAAGCAATTCGGTGTGTTCCTGCCATTGTCTTCTCTAAACATCACCTATTCTCTGAGGTAAGTTTAAGTTACTGATGTAATTAGGTTACCTATACATTCCTGCTACCTGTCCCTGGCTTGTAACCCTCTCAATAAAAGCCACTGAGCATGGGGGCTTGGGGCATTCTCTTTGAGAAAGAATCACCTTCCCCTTTCCTTGACAGGCAAACGGTGTCTGGAAGGACTCTTTCTTCCAATCCGCAGCAAACTGGGGGACTTGGCAGGCCGGAGTCCCCTACATGGGACCTGGATATTGTCACTCAGAGTCTGTGCGTATGCACTGCGTGCTGCCCAGCACCTGATCCTCATCCACTGTCATTCCTTTAAATTTGCCTCCCATGTAACCCAGCCTGGCCAGTCAGCATGTTCCATTCCCACCCCCACCCTTGACCACAGTGACTAGAATTGTAGAGGCTCTTTCTGGCACCTGGGGCAGTCAAGTTGGTAGCCTGGTTGGGAACCTGGTGGGTATAGAAAAGGGCCAAGGCGAGGAAGATACCATTACCCAGGACAGTGTCTAAGTCTGGCTTGGATGGGCCTGGGCTTTCTAGTCACCTGCCAAGACAGTTCCCTTTGCTGGTGGCCTTCTGCAACACAAGAGAGTCTGGTCCACAGATGGTATACTGAAATGCAATCCCACCTAGAAAGTGTCAGCCACTTCCCAAGGCAACCAGGGATGCCATGTTAAACTGCAATCCCTGGCCTACATTTAAATGAGTGCCACTGAGTTGAATTATTGAAATAAAAAAGTGTCACAGCGTTTGCTTTATAATTCCCAAAGATGGCCCACTGTAATACAATTCCCATGTACTAAATTTAAGTTTTTTTATAAAAGTAAATTTTTTTACTTTTAAAATATGGTCCCAATGAGCAGGGTCGAAGTCACAGTACTTTTAGGGGACCATGACAATTTATTTTCTTTTAAAATCAGAAGAAAAAAATGATCTGTGAAGTAAAAGAAAATGTTTTAAAATATAATAGTAATATATTCATCCTTATACCAACACTATTATAAAGTATAATTTTTGGAAATTTTTTTATAGAGGAAGGGTAGTCTAGGAAGGCCAAAGTGTCTAGGGCCTGAGCATCAGAATGTGGCCCTGCCAGTAAGTGCGTCAGAGCCACTGAGGGCCCGATTCCTGTAGGTCTTTGAGCCAATGGACGACACATATATAGGTGCAAAGGGCTAAAGACTAGCAGTGAGACTCAGGTTTGGGAGGGACTCTTACAACAAGGACAGAAACATGGCCCCCCTGCCAAACCACTCCACTGGGCTAGTGCCATGACTCACAGCAGCCATGCTCACGAGTGTACTGTGGGAAAACATGAGCCCTCATACCCATGGGCGCTGCTTTGCAGCAGGAGGAGTTCTAGCCCTAAATCCAGCCTCACCTGGCTGCCTGCTCAATCCCACCAGGCAGACAAGCACCTCCCACCCTCCACTCGTCACCAAGGTCGTACCCTGTGCGTCAGAGCAGCATACAACAGGTAGCCTGCCTGGGTGTGCACGAGGCCCTTGGGCATCCCGGTGCTCCCGGAGGTGTAGAGCAGAAAGAGCATGTCCTCACTGCCCATGCTCTCTGGGGCACACACAGGGTCCTCCTTAGCCATTTCCTGTAAGGGGGAAGATAAAAACAGCCCCACCCAGGGCAGTTAGCCTCTCCCTTCCTTTTGCCCTCCCTAAGAATACCTCTGCCCAGCTACTGCGAGACTCAGCAGACTGGATTAGAGCTCACTTCTCTGGCCTGCCCTAGTTCAAGTCCAGTTGCAAAGAAAACACACCATAAAAGGATGAATCCAGCCATTTCTATTACATGAACTGTTTTACTGTGTTTGTGGTATTTGAGTTCCATCTTCCCAGCCAGGGCATAAGCCTATCAAATACCACAGGGGAACTCTGGACACCTCTGGGGGTCCCACATTCAGAGCTACAATCTGACAAGACTCAGGCCCAGTTAACCCAACAATAACCTCTCCTCTTAAAACCATACAAAGTGAGGTACACTCACCTGCTCAAGTGGGACATCCAGGTGCCCCATGTGGACCTTATTGTCTGTCCTGTGAGCTACCAGGACATGCTGGATGGTTGGGCAGTGCTTCACAGCTTCATCCACTATCTTCTTCAGCTCCACCACACGTCCTCCCCGCAGTCCTTGGTTGAAGGTGATAACCACCTTACACTTTGCTAATAGAGACAATAGATGTTTCTGATCAGTGTTTTTTCCCACTGTGACCCCACAGCCCAGACTGGCAGCCACACATTCCAAGCACAGGAGTGTGATAGAGAAAGTTCAATACCGAGTAAACTTCAATGAAAAAGTGAAGGCTAAGCCTACTTTCCAATCTTTGTGCATGATACAGAAGCACCAGACCTTTTCCTAGCTCTGAGGAGGAGCAGAAAGCAACGGGAAATAAATGAAAGCTGAACTCTTCCAGCCTTCCACCATTTCTTCCTGCCTACCCCAGAGGCTTTTTCAGGTGAGAAGCCATCACATTGTCCCCAGCCAGAGCCACCGTGAAACAGAGACCAACAAAGCTGGGTAGCCAGAGACCAAACTGCCAGAGAACAGAGACACCACTCCAGGTGTATGCCAGGAGCTGTTGGCCCCTACCCTCACCTTCAGGGGAAGGCCCTGAGGCTCCACACCTGCTCTTTAATGATGCAGGCAGCTCAGCCAGGCTCAGGGCAATGCTAGGCTGACAGCAGAGCAGGGAATTAGGTACAGCACAACTAGACCTCAGGACCACAAAGGAATGATCCTCCACACTGAGTCTTAACTTGGATGAACTAGAGGAATCAGGCTACAGTGGGTATTTTTTTTTTAATCCTCACCCAAAGATATGCTTATTGGTTTTAGAGAGAGAGGGAGAGAGAGAAAGAGAGAGAAACATTGATGAGAGAGAGAAACACCTATGTGAGAGAGAAACATTGATTGGTTGCCTCCTGCATATGTCCTGGCCAGGAATCAAACCCATAGCCTAAGTACATTCCCTGGATGATGCTCCAACCTAGTCACTCAACCAAGGCTACAGTGGGTTTTTTATATGGTTCTCTAAGGAAGACCCTGGAACAAATATCCAGTGTAGCACTGGCTAGTGGGGCGCCAGGCACGTCGCTCAAAACTTTTAATTGAGGTCTTCTTTTGGAGCCACAGGAAGAAGTGCTGGGGAATTACTCCAACTCCAGCAGCCCTCAACAATTGGTTCCCAAGAGCTGGAGTATTAATACCCCAACTCTCTCACCCCTGGGTAGAGGGGTTATTCTGACACATATACTGGGTTGGCCAAAAAGTTCGTTTTTGTTTTTTTTTCCTGTAAGATGGCTCTAGTAGTGCTTACTTGTCTTTAACTTCATTCAAAACAATTTTGTTAGATTGTATTGTGACAGCTGTTGTATCAGCATGCATTTAAAAAACTTATCAAAATTGGCGAATTCTTGTGTAGCCATTTTAATATTGAAGATGGAAGAAAATACACAATATTTTTGACATATTATATTTTATTATTTCAGGAAAGGTAAAAACTCAATTGAAACATAAAAAAAGATTTGTGCAGTGTACAGAGAAGGTGCTGTGACTGATAGAATGTGTCAAAAAGGGTTTGCAAGCCTTTGTGCTAGAGATTTCTCGCTGGACGATGCTCCAGAGTTGTAGAGACCAGCTGAAGTTGATAGTGATCAAATAGAGACATTAATTGAGAACAATCAACATCACACCATGCAGGAGATAGCCGACATACTCAAAAAATATCTAAATCAATAAAGTTATTGGTGAAAATGAAAACTGTGTTTATTATTTTACAGAAAAACCATACAGACTTTTTGGCCACCCCAAGAGTTCTATCATCTTCCACTGTTTCCCTGTGGGACTGAGCTCTGCTCACCCACTGTGAAAGCTGATCTTATTTGATTCTCTTTCCCAGCCTCACTCCCACTGCCTTATAGCACTTCCCAAATGAGCCTGAACTCTCATCTCAGGATCTGCTTTTAGGGAATCCCCATTTAAGGCACAAATCTCACTGAGCTTTTCAGTTTTAAAAGCAATTTCTAGCAACATACCCACATTCTTTCTTCCTCGCAAGAGCCCTAGAAAATGAAATAGTCTTGACAGGTACCTGAGAATTCTCCAGATAGGCCTTTGCAGCTGGATGACTCACCAAAGTCATACAGGGGTCAAAGGGATAATCTAGGCTGCCAGGGGTGTCATGGACAGTGCCATCTGGCCCCACATACCGAGGGACCCTGGCCACACAGACTCTTCTCCCCAGGCCTTGACAATCAGTCACCTCGTGAAAACAAATTCTGTACGGAAGAGCCTATCAGAGACTCTCCAGGACTATGTCCCTCAGAGCTGGGACTGGTCCGGGTGAGCTCCCTGTGGAGAAGGAAGGGAGATGATGCACCAGGTGCAAAGGGACCCTTCTTAAGGAAACCCCAGGAGAAAACACTGGCCTGCCCCATCCAACATACAAGAATTGTGTTATACGGGTTTTAGTTCCTCCCCAGGCTCCCTTGGCTCATGCTTCATCCCTGGCACTCCTTTGTCCAAAGCTTCCACTTGGGTGGTTCTCAAGGGCAGGTGCATAGGTTTTGTACCTAGGAGGTATGCAGGGAGCGCATATTGCCCTGTGGTTTCCTGTTGCTAGGCAAGAAGTAACGGGTGAGTGCATAGCATCGGGACACAGGCAGAATCAGCCTGATGCTTCGTCTCAGAGGATTTGCTTTACCTTTGCGGTTTTTGAGCAAGTATCAGCATCTGTATTCGTTTTCCATGGTTCCCATAGCCAATTACTATAAACTTAGTGGCTGAGAACACTCAGTTTTTTAGCTCACAGTTTTATAGTTCAGGTGAGCTCCACAGGGTTCTGTTTTAAGAGTCTCAATGCCAAAATCAAGGCGTGACGGGGGGTGGGCTCTGAAGGCTCTCTGGAAGAATCTACTTCCAGGCTTATTTAGGGTGTTGGCAGACTCAGTTCTATGTGACTTGCAGGACTGAGGTCCCCACGTCCTTGCTGTCAGCCTGTGGTCATTCTCAGCTTCTAGAGCTACCTGCGTTCCCTGGCTTGTAACCCCTGTACCTTCAAAGGCAGCAAAAGCAGTTCAACTCCTTCTTACGCTTTGAACCCCCCCTTCTGACACGTCTTCCGCTTGCTGCCAAAGGAAGCTCTCTGCTTTTAGGGGTTTGTATTGTTAGATTAGTCCCACTGGATAGTTTCTCCACTTTCAGGTACATTACATCTATACAGCCCTTCAGCCATGTTGGGTAAAATAATCACAGGTTCTGGAGGACTAGGGAGTCCATGCAGGCCATTATTTTGTCCCAACAGTGTCTCTCAGAGCCATTCTCCTTACCCCCACCCTCCCCACCACACCTCCCTCTTTCTCCATTCCTCATATGACCTAAAGCAAGAGAGTAGATAAAGAGAAGGGGAATGTTCAGGCCAGCCCAGGGGACTAGAACTCTAGAATAGTATATACTACCTGAGGTAGCCAAAGCAGCTCATGGTGAGATCCTGGTGGCCATGCTCATGCTCCCACTCCCCTGGGGGCAGATTAAAGATAGCTGCAAATTCTTAACCTGGTTTCATACTACTTCTCATGAAGAAGTGGGATCTAGGTCTCATTCTCTTGAATTTGGAATGGTCATTGACTGTTTTGACCATGGAGTATAGCTAAAATGATGCCTTGTGTATTCTGGGCCTGGCCTTTAGTATAACTGGCGATTTCCACTTCCTTCCTTCTGGAGCCATGCACTACCATGTAACAAGTATGGCTACCTGAGGTTGCTACGCTGTGAGGAAGTATAAGTTAGTCAAGTGGAAAGTGACACACAATGAGAAAGCAATGCCTGACCAGCCCCCACCATTCAAGCCAGTCCAGTTGATATCCTAAGTACCATGGAACAGGGAAAAGCCACTTTCAATGCGCCCATCTGACTCCTGCCTCACAGAATCATGAAATACAATAATAGTATTTAGTTTAAGCTAACGTTTTAAGCACTAAGTTGTGGAATAGTTTATTAGCTACCAATACACTACTCAGCAATAATTACACAGTGATACAAAGCACTCCCTAATTGACCAAAGAGGGTACAGATACCTGTCCCAACAGAGTCCAGTCCCCAGGACCCTGACATCTAAATAGCTGGACACAGAGATTGAAAGGTACTGGGGAAGAGCCCCTGTATTGGCAAAGTTCTAGAGAAAATTTACAGGAGTGTCCCCTACTGAGACCCTGGGAGCCTCAGCTCCTGCCCTCCCTTGTTCTGGTTGTTTAACATTCCTGAGGTTCTGGGTACTGCTACAGCAGCCAACAGCTAAATCCCCATATGCTAAGTTCCCAGAATCAACTGCTGTTATCTGCTTCAAAGAATTTTAACAGAAACTCCTGGTAACTATGGGCACATCTGTAAGAGAGGAAATGAGCAGCGTCGTGTTACGATAAAAGCATGGGCTTTTGTGGCAGAATGCCTGCATTCAAACCCTGGCTCTGTCACTAATGATTCGACCTTGAGCAAATTACTTAGCCTCTCTGTGCCTCAGTTTCCTTGTCTTTAAAAAGTGAATAATAACCTTCCACTAAAGAAAATTCCAGGACCAGATAGCATCACTGGTGAATTCTACCAAACATTTAAAGACAAATGAACATCAATCCTTGCCAAACTTCAAAAAAACTCATAGAGGAGGAAACACTTCCTAATTCATTCTATTTGATCAGCACAGCATGGTATCTATATGATCCCAAAGCCAGACAAACACCTCACAAGAAAACTACACACCAATATCCCGTATGAACTCTCATGCAAAAATGCTCCACACAAGCCCTGGACAAGTGGCTCAGTTTGTTAGAGTGTCATCCTGTGCACCAAAACGTTGTGGGTTCAATTCCTGGTCAAGGCACATACCTAGGTTATGGGTTTGATCCCCAGTCAGGGCATGTGTGGGAGGCAACCAATTGATGTTTCTCTCTCTTAACGTTTATGTTTCTCTCTCTCTCTTTCTCCCTCTTCCTCGCTTTCTAAAATCAATAAACACATCCTTGGGTGAGGATTTTTTAAGAAATGCTCAACACAAATCCTAAAAAACTGTCCTGCAGCATAGGATTATACGTCATAATGAAGTGGGATTTACTCCTAGAACGCAAAGATGGGTCAACATATGAAAATCAATCAATGTAACATACCACACTAATTGAATGAAGGACGAAAACCACATCACCACTGATGCAGAAAGAGCACTTAACAGAACCCAACACTCTTTCATAACAAAAACACTTAATAAATGAGGAATAGAAGGGAACTTCTTTAACCTGATATAGGGCATCTATGAAAACCCACAGATAGTACCATATTCAATGGTGAAAGACTGAAAGCTTTTCCCCCTAAGTTCAAGAACAAAATAAGGACACCCACTTTCACTACTGTCATTCAACACACTAATAGAAGTTCTAACCAGAGGAACCAGGAAAAAGGAAAAAAAGGAAGGAAGGAAGGAGGAAAACATCCAAATCATAAAAGAAGAAGTAAAACTACCTCTATTCACAGTTACGTGATCTTAAATGTAGAAAATCCTAAGGAATCCACAAAAAAACTACTAAAGCTAATAAACAAATTCTGCAAATTTGCAGGATACAAAATCAACACACAAAAATCAATTCTATTCCTATACACTAGCAATGAATAATCCAAAAAAGAAACTAAAACAATTTCGTTTGCAAAAGCTTCAATAGAATAGAATAAATCTAACCAAGGAGATATAAGACTTGTACACTGAAAACTATAAAACATTTCTAAAAGAAATTAAAGAGGACATAAGTAAATGGAAAGGCTTCCCCTGTTCATGGATTGGAAGATTTAATATTGTCAATACACGAATAATTTTCAAACCGTTAAACAGATTCAGTGCAATTGCCGTCAAAAGCCCAACAGTCCTCTTTGCAGAAATGGAAAAGTTGATTCTAAAATGCATATGAAAATGCAAGAGACCCATAACAGCCAAAGCAATCTTTAAAAAGGAGCACAAAGTTGGAAGACTCACACTTTCTAATTTCAAAACTTACTACAAAGTTACAGTATCAAAACAGTTGGGTAATGGCATAAGGACAGACATTTAGATCAACAGATTAGAATAAAGAATTTAGGAATAAGCCCTTACAAATATGGTCAAATGACTTTTGACTAGGCTGCCAAGGCCATTCAATTGGGCGGCGGGGGAGGAGGGGAGTTTTTTCAACATATGGTGCTTATATCATTGGATACCCACAGACCAAAGAATAAGTTGAACCATTGCTTTACACAAAATTAACTTCAAATGGGTCAAAGACCCAAATGTAAGAGAAGAAAAAACTATAAATCTCTCGGAACAAAACATAAAGGCAAATCTTCATGACATTGGGTTGGCAATGGATTCTTTAAAAAATAAAACAAAAGCACAAACAACAGAAGAAAAAATTGATGACTTGGATTTCATTACAATTTAAAACTTTTGTATATCAAAGGACCCTACCTAAAGAGTGAAAAGACAACTCACAGAATGGAAGAGGATAACTGCAAATTATATATCTATAAAAGCCTAGTATTCAGCATATATAGAGAGCTCTTACAACTCTACGACAAAACAACCACCCAATTAAAACATGCGCAAAAGACTTTGTTTCAAGGAAGACATAGAAATGGACAACAAGCACATGCTCAGTGATATTGGCCATTCAGAAAATGCAGATCAAAATCACAAGGAGATAGCATTTCATTTCTATTAGAATTGCTATAACTTTTTTTTAAAAAAAAGGGAAATAACAAATGTTGGTGAGAATATGGGGAAATTGCAACCCTCATATATTGCTGGTCAGCTCCTTTGGTAAACAATTTTGCAGTTCCTCAATAAGTTAAACATGGAATTACCATTTAAGCCAGCAATTCCACATCTAGGTATATACTTAAAAAATTAAAAGCAAGTGTTCTTGTATACAAACATTCATACCTCTATTCATTATAGCCAAAAAGTGTAAACAACTCAAATGTCCATCAACAGATGCATGGATAAACAAAATGTAGTATATCCATAGAGTGAAATATTATTCAGCTACAAAAAATGAAGTACTGATACACCCCCCAACATGGATGAACCTTGAAAAAATTATGCTTAGTGAAAGAAGCCAAACACAAAAGGCCACATACTGTGAGTTCATTTATATGAAATATCCAGAATAGGCAAATTATAGAAACAGAAAACAGATTAGTGGTTGCCAGAGGCTGGAGGGAGGGGGGAAATGGGGAATCTATGCTTAATGGATATGAGGAATGCATTTGGAGTGAGGAAAATGTTCTGGAATAGACAGGGATGATGGTTGCACAACACTGTGAATATACTTAATACCACAGAATTGTACATTTTAAAATGGTCATAATTATAATAAAAAAGGGAGAAATAATAAGAATATTGTTTCATACAATATTTATGAGGACTACATTAGTTAAATTGAAGTCAACGACCTTTGTAAACTGCTTAGAAACTTCCTGGCACATAGAAAGTGCTACAGAGTTTAGAGAAGAAGTGGCAGCACCAATCCTTGGAAGTGGAGGCAGAGAATCTTGAAAGGGAGTCAAAAGGCTTACCAGACTTTTCTAAAGAGGATGGTCAGCCAAAGTCTGAGAACTCCAAACTTTAGCTCTGTTTATTACTCATAAGCAAGTCTTCCATGAGGCACAAAGAACTCCAATGGTCCCCAGAATTTGGCACCCTCCTTGGGGAGCCAGCTAAAGGACTCTCTCTAGAATCTCATTGGAGAAGGGTTCTGACAACATGAACGTGGCACACTATTGTAACACTGGGCTCTCTGATGCCAAGAAAAGGAAGGGGATGATATTGTTCTGCACACTGTCCAGAAAATTCTGACCCACCGGTAGACAGAAAGCCTAAAGATGCATCACAAGCTCCCATACCTGACTCTAGGCCCCGAGAGATGGTCCCCCATCATTCTTCACAATGGAAGACTTCCGTCCAGCTATTGGTCTGTAGGACATTCCCTGTACAGCCCCAGCCTCATCTCACCCTACCTGTTTCTTCCCTTCTCTTCTGGAGCCACACCAGCCTACTCCACGCCCTCACACACTCAGCTCCTCTTGTCATTCAGCTGATATCTGTGCTGTTCCCTCCACCGGGTTAAATACAGCAAACGTGGATCTCAGCTCATAGAACGAATGCTCATTCGGTGACGTGCCTATCCCTGGTAGTGCCTGTCATTTGTCTGTGTGACCTTTATTAATGTCTATCTGTACTCAAAGTCCAAGGAACAAGGACTAGGGGACTCCGGTTCCTCCGTTCCTTCCCCTGTCCAGATGCTCACCATCATTGATCCTTCCAGCCAAGGACTCTGCACTGAAGCCAGCAAAGATGACTGTGTGGATAGCTCCAATCCTGGCACAGGCAAGCATTGCAGCCACAGCCATTGGGGACACAGACATGTAGATGGCCACACGGTCCCCTCGACAAACTCCATGCCTCTTCAATGTGTTGGCCAGGCGGCATGTGGTCTCCAACAGTTCCCTGTAGCACAGAGAAGAGAAGGCTATCAGACATGGAGGAGGCCCAAAACTCAGAAATATTTGGAGTGGAATGATTCTTCAAGTACTATATACCTAGCCAGTGGCTGGAGGATAGCAGATAATTAAATACTTATTGCATGGTAAGGTCTATTCCAGAAAAACAATGTTTTTAACTTCGTAGACTGGTATTGACAAAGACTCATTGCCACACTGCTGAGGTAAAATGACTGTCCTTGCATCCATTTAGAGGATGGCTTCTCAAAGGCTGCAAGTGTCCAAATCCTACATTGTCATATCCCTGAGACTTCTCACAATGTTCACCTCCGAAAAAAAAGATGTCATAAGACAGACAGTTAGTGGGCAAAAGCAAGGCCCAGATTTCTGAATCAACACAAGCCATGGCACCAAGCAAGGCTCTTGCCAGACAGGGACCCAAGCTCATGCAGCAGACCCCAACTCTGTGAACCCACAATGAGTCAGGAAAGAAGACAGGCTGCAGGACAGTAACACTCCATGCAGCTCCGAGGCAGAGTTGGTGGGTAGCGAGAGAATCCCTTTTCTCTTTATGCTAACTGCTCAAAGGGTGCATGGGATGGAGACAGACTGTGCCAAGGGCCCACTATCCCACAGCTCTTCCCTCCTGCACATGACTCCACCCTCTACTCTCCAGCTTATGTCAAGATTCAGCCTGTCAATAAGAACCCTGTGTCTCCCTGAATAACCTGATTGGCTTGGGGGTTATCATATGACCAAACTCGGCCCTTTAGGAGTCTATGGCAGTCAACTCCAGGAGCTGCCCTCGGGTTTGGAGTAGAGCAGGAAGTGGAAAAAAGCAGCTGGAAGAGGGGAAGTGAGCTGCAGGCTCCTTTCAACCCTGTTCCAGTACCTGGTCTAGCTGAATCTGGCTTTCTAAAATAACCATTTTCTCATTTTTGCTGTACATGGTTTGATTTTAACTTATTAGTTAATAAAAAGAACTAACACAGAAGGACAGAATAAGGAGAAACCAAGGCCCTCCTCTTGTTACCAGTTTGTGCCACTACATTAGTAAACCTGTAAACTTCTATTACTTTCTTTCTTTCATGCTTGTTAACAAGTCTGCATTCACACTTAAAAACAAAAACTAACAAAAGAAAAAGGAAAAAAAAATACTATTCAGTACAGGAGATTAAATAACCACATACAGTCTCTTGAAATAAATTTGGTTCCTTAAGAAGACTAATTACTCTTTTTGGCCAGGACTTCTGGCCAAGATGGAGGTGTGGGTAGATACACTTTGCCTCCTCGCACAACCAAAAGAAGAACAACAACAAATTTAAAAACAAAAAATAACCAGAACTGCCACAAAATCAAACTTTAGGGAGGTCTGACAACCTAGGAGCTAAGGAAGAACATTCATCCAGACCAGTGGGAGGGGCAGAGGCAGGCAGCTGGGGTGGAGAGGGTGTGTGGCAAGGTGGTGGCTGGAGGACTAGGCGTGAGGCTGTGGCTAGCAGACCAAGTGGTTCCACATTTGTTAGCAGATAAACCAGAGGAACAGCTGGGGAGAGAGACGAACTGCGCAATCCAGGGTCCAGTGCAGGAAAAGAAACCTCAAAACCTCTGGAGTGTCACAACTCAGTGACCTGGGTTGCCCTGCCCTGGCGAATACCTAAGGCTCTGCCCCTTCCAACGCAATGGGCGCGAGACAAAGAAATATGGCCCAAATGAAAGAACAGATCAAAGCTCCAGAAATAGAACTAAGCGATGACCAGATAGCCAACCTATCAGATGCACAATTCAAAACATCGGTAATCTGGATGCCCGCTGAATTGGTTGAGTATGGTCACAAAATGGAGGAAAAAGTGAAGGCTACGCAAAATGAAATAAAGAAAAATATACGGGGGAACAACAGTAAAGGGAAGGAAACTGGGACTCAAATCAACAATTTGGGGCAGAAAGAAGAGATAAACATTCAATCAGAACAGAATGAAGAAACAAGAATTCAGAAAAATGAGGAGAGGCTTAGGAGCCTCTGGGGCAACTTTAAATGATCCAACATCCAAATAATAGGGGCGCCAGAAGGAGAAGAGCAAGAGCAAGAAATTGAAAACTTATTTGAAAAAATAATGAAGGAGAACTTCCCCAATCTAGCCCAGGAAATACACTTCCAGGGGATCCAGGAAGCTCAGAGAGTCCCAAAAAGGTTGGACCCTAGGAAGCACACACCAAGGCACATCATAATTAAGTTACCCAAGATTAGAGATGAGGCGAGAATCTTAAAAGCAGCAAGAGAAAAGGAGACAGTTACCAACAAAGGAGTTCCCATAAAACTATCAGCTGATTTCTCAGAAGAAACCTTGAAGGCAAGAAGGGGCGGGAAAGAAGTATTCAAAGTCATGAAAAGCAAGAACCTACATGCAAGATTACTCTATCCAGCAAAGCTATCATTTAGAATGGAAGGGCAGATAATGTGCTTCCCAGATAAGGTCAAGTTAAAGGAGTTCGTCATCACCAAGGCCTTATTATATGAAATGTTAAAGGGACTTAACTAAGAAAAAGAAGAACAAAAACTATGAACAGTAAAATAGAGGGGAGGAGGAGCGATGAGACTGGGGGAAAAGGTACAGGGAACAAACAGTATAAATCGTAGGTACAGAATAGGCAGGGGGAGGTTAAGAAGAGTATAGGAAACGGAGAAGCCAAATAACTCATATGTACAACCCATGGGTAAGGACTAATGGGGGGGGGGTGCTGGGGGGTGGAGTGGTGGAAGGGAATAAAGAGAAGAAAAATAATGGGTCAACTGTAATAGCATAATCAATAAAACATATATATAAAAGAAGTCTACTTTCTGTTGTCTTTTAAAAAATAAATATATATATATACAACATAACTATAACTATATATATACGTATATTTCTATGTATTATTCTATGATTTTATTTATGGTTCCTCTACTGTGTTGAAGATTTAGGAGCATAAAAGCATTGTGTGCCCCACTGAACAGGGGCTCTAATACAACAGAAAGGTTACAAGTGGCAGTCTTGTCCTTCATTGATCTGAACTATCTGTGGCTTCATTGTAAGTGATTATGCTTTTGGAATCTTACTTCTGCAAATTCCAAACAGAATCCATTTCTTTAGTGTGATACAAAATAGCAGCCCACAGGTCAAAAGGACCAAAGCTATCATTCCTTTCTAGACCTCTCTGGTATCCCTGTTCTTTGGTGGAGCCTAACAAAGTGTTTGCAGGAGATGCCAGAGGATTTTGATTTTCTATCTAGTAGTTTTTTAAGAGAAACACTAAAGTACCTTGACTACTGGTGTCTGCTTTTTTGCAGATTACTTATATTACTGGGTTCCAAGGATAAGGCACCACGCTCACTAGTAGCTGCAGGTTTTAGAATGCTACCCAAAACCTGAGGACTAGTCCATTTTTCCAGCTCACAAGCACTGGGGACACGGGATGCTCAGATATTGAGGGGATTATTTCAGCACTCAGTGAAACCAAAGAGGCAAGACTTCCCCTTGAAATGTCACTTGCATCACTTTATGATCTGATGACTTCCCAATGCCAGTTTCAAGCCAGCACTGGACTCATTTTTAAATGATAAACCCCAGTAATTCTGGAGGGTATCCCCCAGGTTTTGCTGATGTGTCTTAAGAGTGTAGATTCACTTGGCCAGTGCTCAACAACATGGTTTGCATATTTGAAAGGTAGATAAAAAGGTTAAACTTAATTTGTTCAACAGCTGCTGAAGGGAAGACTCTTGTCCCAAAGAACAATCAGTCCCAGAAGAGATGAGTGTTAGGGTCTTAGCAGCAGTAGTTATTAGCCACAGTAGTTCGTAGCAGCTGAGCCCCTGGAGAATACACACTTGGATCAGTACCCACTATAAGAAGCCCAAAAGTTGGCTGAAGTAACACATTTCAGCTCGAACACAGGGACCCGGTGTTAAATAGGGTCTGAATATAGGATCTGAGTTTTCCCAGTAGATAATGAAGAGGATAAAGATGAAAATGGTGACACAGAATAGTTCTGAAGTTTTGTTTTGTTTTGTTTCTGAGGGGTTTTTTTTTTTTTTTGGTTGTTTTTGAGGTTTTTCTTAACTTTGTTTTTGTGGCTGCCTAACTTACTTTAGGAACTATTTTAGCACTGTCATTGTCCACTGGAAAAATGGGGAAGTTTAAATAGGGTCCAAGAGTCCTCTTTGGAGGCAATAACAGAGGCATACTTTCCTTTGAGCCAATCATCAAACCTCTGGTTTAATATATCAGCTTTAATATCAGAGCTTTTCTGCAGTATATCACCCACAGCAGGCTTTCCTCAGTTTGTTCTCCAGGCCCATTTTCATGCTTTTAAATGAGCTTTGAACCACTTACTTGGTTTCCCTTTTGTTCACTGTAGTCAGGCTTGACTTTTAAGTCCCTGATTCAAGGTTGAGACATTGGTCTCTTGTTGCATTATTTTGTGCTACACTAATAAATTAAGGTTTTCACAACCCTTGGCACCACTGTGCCTAGCTTTCCTTTTTTAAGGAGTGGCATATCCACTCCCAGATCCACCACCTATTTATCTTCTGCTTTGCCCATATAACCATTAGTAATATAGCCAGAATTATTCGTTACAACACCATCTGGAATTGCTACAGTATCACTCTTATCTACAGACTGGTTCCAGATTTATTTTCGTAAGACTTTCCATTCTTTCTGTCCATATTGTTTTTCTGAATTAAATTCTTGGTTTCAATTCCTGCTTTCCAAAGGTGCTGGCTTTTAAAGTCTGCTTCAGATTAGTGTCTACAACATGTAGATTGCCACTGAGGACCCTGGAAATAGGGTTGGTAGCTTCATCAGAACCCAGGTTCTTTAAAGATATTTCTCTTTCTTCAGCATTACCATTTAGTTCACCATAGCCTTTTTTCTTCTTCAATGTTTCCTGGTGCTGCTGGAGGGCATTTCTGCTCATGTTTCAGTGGCTTTGGCCGGGCCTTGGAGCTGCCCTTGGCTCCATGCTGCA